AGGAGCTGAAGTCACCACGAGATAGACTCTTTCACCTGGATGGTCCTGGGGCTCACAGGTGTGGGACACACGGGAGCGTCCCTCACCTCACAAAGAAGCACACCCCTTCTGTTTCCTGTAAAACATGAGCGTGATTGTTCCCGCTGATTACAGTCACACCTGGGCTCTGTCTGCTCCTCGGGGACATGTCCGACCACGACAGCGGGTGTAGGCTGAGCACTTCCTGGATGCCTAGTGCCGCATGGTCTGCACACTTAACCTAGTGCCACCCCAGCGAGGAGCTAGCTTTTTAAATGCATTTATTTATTTAATGAGAAAGTGAGTGAGCCAGCAGACCCAGCAGGGTCTTGGTGCCGCGATCCACTCCCAGCCTCAGCCAGCCCCAGATGCTGGGCACACGCATGTCCAGGGTACTCAGGGAGGTCTCCGAGAGGTACCCAGAGCCTTCCCAGGTGGCTCAGCCTTGCAGAGCATCACCTTTTACCATAGTGCCACCATCCTGTCCCCAGTCAGAACTGTTGTTATTAACTGTCCTTTACCAATAAGGAAACAGAGGCCCAAGATTACACCGTGAGAAGTGACAGCTGGTTCTGCGCCTTGTGTGGAGAGACAGCAGGGAGGGATGAGGGCTCCCACCCACTGGATACAGTTTTCAGTTTTCAAGAAATGCCAGTAGTCTTGGGTCGTTGGAAAAGTTATGATGCAGTTTTTTTTTTGCGTAGAAAAACAGAAAAATACGTCAGGACTTTTCCAATGACCCAAAAGATTTTATGCGTAATCACCTGATTATTAAATGCCAACTTATTTATTTGAAAACACTGTGCAGGTCGAATAAGCTTGAGGCCCTAGAGCACTGTGTAGGGGGTAAACTGAGGTGCAGGGAGGGGAAGGGTTTGCTAGTGGCAGAGCGGGACAGGAGTCCTCCAGTGCTCTTGACTCATGGGGTCCTTCCTTGCCAGGCCTCACCCTCCTCATCCCCTACCTCCTCGGCCGCAAGAAGAGGTGGAGCAAATGCAGCATCCGTGTGTTCGTCGGGGGCCAGATCAACAGGATGGACCAGGAAAGGAAGGCGTAAGTGGGGAGGGCCAGGGAGGGGCGCGCAGGACTGCACCATCTCAGAGCTGCCCACCCAAGACTGCCCGCCCCACCTCCACCACCACCCCAGCTAGCCCGATAGCCCGGGTCTGGTCCAGAGTCCCGCGCTGTGTCCCTCCAGGCCACGGCATGGAGGGGCTCTAGGCAGGGGGTTTCTCTCCTTTCTGGAAGTTGTTCCGATTTCCTGCCTCGCTTAGTAAGATGCAGATGGCCTACCCCATCTTCGCCATGGCGAGGGCCTAGGGGGTAAGACCCTAAGCCTCCTCTAGGAGAAACCTAGATGAATGAAGGATGGAGAAGGCCCCGCCTTCAGGACAGTGTCCCTAAAGTGCGGGATGCAGGCTCTGGACAGATGAGAGGTGACTAGGGGTCAGGAAGTGAGACAGCAAATACCACTAAATCGTCTAGTGAAAGCTCTTTTATAATTGTCAGAAGTAATATACACTCGTGAGAGAGAGAGACAGAGAGACAGAGAGAGAAGAACAAAGCTCCTGGCCCCCCGCCCCCCATAGGTGTGAGTATGTCGTGAATCCCTCCTCCTCCTTTTCTCCATTCTGTTGGGATTCTGGGCATGCACACACATGTGCCCAGTGTGTTTTTCAAGCCTCCAGGGCCAGGATTCGAACTGTATTTGTTCACGTCAGATCCAGCTCCCTTAACTACTAGGCTACAGGAAGGACTAGGAAGGTACTTTGAATTCTCCAGTTTTGTGGCTGATTCTGTAGAATGAGGTTTGTCTTCCCCCTTAGTAACCCACTCTAATGTCCCTGTCTGAGCAAGAGAAGCTGACCTGGGTCCCTAGGCTTGTCAGCACCAACACACATAGAATCTAGTGACACTGGTTTGTTTATGTAGGTTTTATTGGTCACTTCTTCCCGGCAAGAGATACTGGTTTTCTGTTTAAAACTGATGTAAGATTTTCTCTTGAAGTATCTACGTGTATCTAGGTCAGACTGTGAGCTGATTTAGGCAGGGAAGGAGGTACGTGCATAGGAGGGCAGGTGGCACGCACACATGGCACTGTCAAGAGTCAAACATTATTTTTTTTTTTAAGTTTTTTTTTTTTGAGAGTTTTTTTCTATAGGGCGCGTGCACTTGCCAGAAAGACAGAGAGAGAGAGACAGAGAGATAGAAAGCGAGAAATCACCCCCCGGGGGGGATGGCCACATTGCAATCCCTTCTCCTCCATTCTCCTCTTGGGATCTTGGGCACGCACGCACACGCACCTGGCGTGAGTTTAAGCCACCAGGTCCAGGACTCGAACTGCGGGCGACTGCATGGGAGTTCAGCAACATAGCCATTACACTAACTGCTGGTCCCTAAACAGGTGCATTTGTGTATCTGCTACTTTAGCAAAGTCAAGTGAGGTTGAAGATCAGAATATGAAGGTCCACTAGGAGACAGACAGTGGGGCAGTTTGCTCAAAGTGAAGCAATTAATTAGCCAACCTTTTCTTTCTTTCTTTCTTTTTTTTTTTTTTGAGAGAGATTTTTGCAATAAGGGTACATGTGCTTGCTGGAGAGACAAGTGAGAAATCACGCCCCCGGGGGGGATGGCCACACCGCCATCCCTTCTCCATTCTCTCAGGATTTTGGGCACACACATACATGTGCCTGGTATGGGTTTTAAGCCCCTGGGTCGGGGACTTGAACCATGGTTGACTACGTGGAGTCCAGCAACGTAACCATTACACCATCTTGCTGGTCCTAGCCAGCCTGACTTTGGGCGAACCACCCCACCTGTCTGAACCCTCCAGCACAAGAGCGTAATGTTCTTGGTTGAAAAGGATGTACATGGTAGCGTCTTTGACTTGATTATCGCACCTGCACACATGCTTAGGAAAACCGTATTGTATGTGATAAAGCTGTACAATACATAGAAATAAGAAGTCATAGAATGAGATTAAAACAAGAAAGAAAAGAAGGCCCTCCAGCTTGGTCTCTAGCACCCTTTGCACTAGGCTGTGACACCCCAAAGTCAGAATAGGAGGGGACCCAGCTGCCTCTGTACAGTTACTTTCAGGGCTGGCCCTGAATAAATATTAAAAAAATCTCTGTCTGTTGGGGAGAAGGGAAGACAGCCAGAGGCACAATGGTACTGCAGTGCTCTGCAATGCTGGAGCCCGTGGAGGGTCCCAGGTTTGTGTCCCAGTGCCTCCCTGTACATGCCAGACCTTCATACACGCCTATGATCCAGGAGGTCTGGGGGTAGATCTCAGAGTGGGGGACCTGCTGGGTGTGCTCCCCCAATCTCTCTGTCATGGAAGAAACAACAAGTAAGTTCTAAAACTCTCTGGGACTGACCAATGGCCTAGTGGTGACTTTCTGTGAGCCTGAGCCATGGGAGTGCTCTATGTTCACACCTGGAGACTCCCCTGAGCACATTGGGTACACGCATGCCTATCACCCAGGGCTGGATTGTGGCATCAGGATCCTATTGGCAGTTTTCTCTCCCTCTCATGGAGAAAGTAAATACAAAGGAATTGTCTGTCTGTCTTCCAGGATCATTTCCTTGCTGAGCAAATTCCGACTGGGGTTCCATGAAGTGCATGTCCTTCCCGACATCAACCAGAAGCCACGGGCTGAGCAGTGAGTCAGTGTATCGGGGCCAGCAGATGTGTGTCCTGTAGAACCCTCTGCTTGCTCCCCTTTTCCCGGCTGACCCAGGAGCAAAGGGCTGTCCTGCCCACCTGGGTAGGGCTGGTGGCAAGGAAGAGGAAGAAGCAAAGCTCATAGCCCTTTGCTTTCCTTTGGATTCTTGTCCCTGCCTGCTGGTCCTGTGCACCGAGGAGCTCTGGTCTTTGCCAGGAACACACTTGGCCACGGAACCCACGTTCACATTCCTGACTTTCTTAGCTCAAGCGGGTCTTGAGCTTTTGCTGGTGCGGACTGTAGCTTTTCTGCTTCTTGAGCAGGGCCAGCATATCATCACAGGAAGCCCTCACCTACCCCACCCCACCCCGGCGACCTGGGGCCGGGGACTCTGGTTTTACACTTAGGCCCAGGCTGCTTGCTACTCATGAAAGGCTGATTTTACCTACAGAGGTGATTGGTTTTCTAAATTTTCTCCCACTCCCTGAGTGTCTTCATAAAGCAGTTGTTCTCAAACCTTGATATGAGTCAGAACAACCTAGAGGGCTCATTAAAAATGTAGCTTGCAGGTGGTGTAGTGGTTAAGGTGCTGGACTCCCACATGGCCAACCACGGTTCAAGGCCTGGACCCAGCAGCTTGAAACTCACTCTGGGTTTATGTGTGTGCCTATGTGTACCCAAAATCCCATGAATGGAATGGAGGAGAAGGTATTATGTCATGTCCATCCCCTAGGGGGTGATTTCTCACTCTCTTCATCTCCCTCTGTCTCTGTGGTAATAGCTTATGTCCTATAGCAAAAATCTCTCTCCCCCAAAAAAGTAGCTTACTGGGTCCCACCTCAAAATTTAGTTGGTCTGAAATTTGGAGTACAGCCTGAGAATCTGCATTTCCAGCACACTCTAAGGTGATTCACGCCTGTGCTGTTGGCCCTGGTACCCCACTTTGAGAACCACACAGCATCCGGTCCAGAGTCAATGTTCACTCAATACTGGATTTGGGGCTGCAGCCTCTGAGTGACTTCTGAGTCACTTGATATTTTGACCTTCTCTTGTAGTCCTGGCTTTACTGCATGCTGCCTGCTTCTCCAGGGGTTGCCTAAGTTAAGGCCCAGCTCAACCCTCCTGCCAGGCTGGGGAAGAGGTTACTCTGCAGCCTGTTAGTTGACTACCTTTGGTCTGAAACACAAAGCTGGAGGTGTTGACTTCTGCAGGGCTGTGGCAGGGGTGTGTCCCCTCCCTGGGGCTGTTAGGCAAGGCAGCTGCAGCCCCTGACGTTACAGTCACACGTGGATGCTTGGGGTGGGGAGAATGTTAGACGATTCGGGCAACAACCTCCTTCCTCCCAACACCGAGTGGCAAATGTGCAGACTTTGAGCAAACCCCTGTGTGAATTCGTGCCAAGGATCAATTGCAGGGACAGAGGAAATATTTGCTTTCTGAATTATGTAACTTCATAGTCTTTTTAAAAGTTTATTTATTTCTTCTATGAGTGAGAAAGAGAAAAAAAAGAGAGCGAGATAGTATACACATGTACCCCAAACAGGGTATCAATACCACAATCCACCCCCAGCGTTACCCAGCCCTGGATCATAGGCACACGTGTGCCCGGCATACTCAGCGAGGTCTCTGGACATAAACCTTCCATGTGGGATTGCCTCTCAGAATGCAGCATTCAGCCCTGCCCCACCAGCTGGCTCTGCAGCTTCACACTCTTCATTATTATTATTATCACCACAAAGCCTGTGTGCTTGGCAGGGGCAGAAGGAAAGCACTCCCCAGTGGGTGCGGTCATGCCACAGTCCTTTTCCTCCATTCCTCTACCCCCGTCAGGATTGGGGCATGCATGCACATGTGCCCAGTGTTTTTGATTTTGTTTTGAAGTGTTGCTATGGGATGTGTGCCCTTGCCAGAGAGAGACAGGGTGTGGGGGGAGTGAGAAACACTCCCTAAGGAGGATGGCCACACCACAATCCTTTTTCCTCCATTCTCCTCTCAGAATTTTGGGCATGCATGCACACATGCCTGGTGTGTTTTCCAAGCTGCTGGGTCCAGGATTTGAACTACCTAGTCAGTCATATGGAATCTACCTACCTTCAACATCACAGCACAGGCCAGCCCACCCAGTGTGCTTTAAAGTTTACTGGAGATCTGAACCTGCAAACTGTATGCTGTGTGCCCACCTCCGGTCCAGAATGCTACCGCCTGTGCCTCCAAGGCTGGGCCTTAGTCCTATTTTTTTTTTTTAAGAGAGATTTTTGCTGTAGGGTATGTGCGCACTCGACAGAGAGAGAGAGAGACAGAAAGTGAGAAATCACTCCCGAGGGGGGATGGCCATACCACAATCCCTTCTCTTCCATTCTTCTCTAGGGATTTTGGGCACACACGCACGCATGCCCCATGCGTCAATAAGTCCAGGACTCGAACCACAGTTGGCCATGTGGGAGTCCAGTAATGTTACCATTTCACCATCTGCTGGTCCCCATGTCTGTCTTTAATAATGTGAGTCGGATCACACCGAACACCCTCCATCAGCTTCCTGTGTCCTTGAGGGCACATAACAAAGCCCTGCTTGCCTGGCCCCTCCCTGTGTCTCGCCTCCCCCACTCTCTCCTGCACTCACCTCGCCCCACACGGGCTCCTTTGCTGCTCCTCACGCAGCCCAACGCCCACTGCCCCACTGTCATAGGGCCTTTGCGCATTCAGTTCTGGCTGCTCCTGCACCCTCTGCCCTGTGCACAGCTGGCTTCAGGCCATTCTACCTCCAGGTCCCAGAGGGCTTCTCCTGGTCCGTTACTCTCTGTCCCAATACCCACCTTAGGAAAACTCCCACTTGGTGTTTGCTTTTCTGTTGGCTTACGGCCCAGCAGACCTGAGCTCGGCCCAGCAGACCTGAGCTCGGAGGAGAGGACAGCCTGCTCTGTTCCCTGCTGTGTAGTACAGAGCAGGGCTGAGTAAACAGCTGCTGGGCGGTCAGGGGGTGGAGGGTGGGCAGGGCGGTCGTCAGAGAGTGCTGGAAGTTTGGTTGACTGCCAGGTCTCCTCGTCAGGTGAGATGTGAGTGACAGCCTCAGATTAGGTGCCAGCCTGAAACGTATGGCCCTGTGGCAGCACCTCCAGCACCCCCCAACCCCCCACCCAAGGAACCTGGGTCCCCTGGGACTGGGTCATCTTGCCCAGCCTCACCTGCTCTCTCGTCCTCAGCACCAAGCGGTTTGAGGACATGATTGCCCCCTTCCGCCTGAACGATGGCTTCAAGGACGAGGCCACCGTCACTGAGATGAGACGGGACTGTCCCTGGAAGATCTCTGATGAGGAGATTAACAGGAACAGGATCAAGGTACAGGAGAGGGAGGGGCCTTGCTGGGGTGGGAGGGGATCAAGGTGCACCACGGCATCAGGGCACGTGTTCATGGGCCCTGAGCCTCCTGAGCCCCATCTGTACTCTCCCCTCCCACCTTCAGCACTCTGAGGGGGCCAGGGAGGGTGTGCGGAGAGGAGAGAGTGGCTTCTTAATGAGACTGCTGCAGACTTTGTAAGGTGGGGCAAGGTGGGCTGGATCCATAGTACAACAGCGGGCTGCTCAAGAGAAGCTGAATCCCACATGGTGACCACAGTTCGAATCTTCGGCCTGGTCAGCCTGAAACTCTGACCATGAGTTGGCAGAGGATACCTGATCTGGTGGCTATAGGACTAGGAGAGAGGATTGTGGCATGACCAGGCCCTGTGGAAGGTGCCCCTGACTTCTCTCCCCTCCCACACCGCATGTACGAGCTCTGGCACAAAGAACAACAGGGGGGTAGCCGGCAAATGGCATGATGATTAATGTGCTGGACGCCCACATGGCTGACTATGGTTCAAGTCCCGGACCTGGCGACTTGCTTTCCTCACTTTCCCGTGATTAATGTGCTGGACTCCCAAATAATAATAATAATAATAATAATAATAACAACAACAACAAATGGAATGAAATCAGTAAGCGATTCTAAAAAAAAAAAGAAGAAAGAACAAAGGGGGGAAGGGCAGGGAATAGCTCTTAGCTCTGGCCCCTTCACTGTGTTCCAGGTCAGTGGCTCTCACCTGGGGCATACTGACACCCGGGGGACATTGGGCAGCCTCTGGAGACATTCGTGGTTGTCACAGCTGGGGGTAGAGCGTAGTAAGCAGGGGCCTGGGCTGCTCACCGCAGGGCCAGGAGAGTTCCTGCGGGTAAGAATGGTCTGCCTCAAATTCGCCTTGGCTTCCTGTTCTCTGAAGTGGGGTGCACATCCACGCTCGGATCCTGTGACAGTCATCTCTGAATGATTTGGAGACTGCCCCTGGGGTTCATTCTCCTCCCCAGCCCCGTCCCACACAAGCCTGGTCTCATTCCCAGAGCTATCAGGCTGCAGACCTTGCCTCACAGGGGGCGATCCATGTCGGGCTCTGGGAAAGGCCCAGAGAGGCCTGTTCTGTATGCAGAGGAGGCGGGGCCTTCTGTCCCCAAGTTCACTTGTTTGTTCTAGGGTATCTTCCATGTACCAGGCCCTCTACCTGCTTGGTGCTTTGGATGGTTACCTTGTTCGATAATCCCCAAATTCCCAGGAAGAGGGTATTATCAACCCACTTTACAGATGAAGACAGCGAGGCTCAGAGAGGCAGCGTGACTGGCTCAGGTTCTCTCTGCTGTAAGATACCAAGGCTGAGATGTGAGCCTAGTGAAGTGCACTCTCTTCCCCTTCTCCCACTGGTCATGGTAAGAAAGGCAACCCAGGAAGGCTCCTTGGAGGAGATGAACTTGGTGTTCAATTACTGCAAGGATCCCTTTCTTTCCAGGAGGCAGAGGAGTCTATAAAAATTGAGGGGAGCCATTCATGTATCTGGTCAGAAATGTTAAAAGAGGTACACGGGCTTGGTGCCCTCAGGATGTGGGGAGTGACTGCCTGGCTTTTCCTTGCCCAGTCCCTCCGGCAGGTGAGGCTGAATGAGATTCTGCTGGATTACTCCCGGGACGCGGCCCTCGTGGTCATGTGAGTAGCAACTGGCTAGCTCTGGAGGTCAGGCCTGGCAGCTCAGAGGAGGGGTATGGGAGGTGGGGCCTGGCAGAAACCAAGCCTTCCCCTGTGAGGCAGGCAGAAGGGCCCAAAGCTTCCGTAAACACTGCCGGGGGTGGGGTGGAGGACGTCTCAGCACGTGGGCTGTGTCTGCCCCATGCCCGTTGTCTGAGCTCCAGCTGGCAGAGGTCTGGCGCCTCAGCGTCCCAGGCATGGCCCAGTCCCTGCTGGCCACCTCTGCCTCCACATGGCTTGGCAAGGGGGGGACCTGGCTTATTGCAGAAGGAAATGGATTCCTGGTTGTTGGGGTATTGCCCAGCCCCCTTTGGCCAGAGGCCATACCCATCTGATGTTGGCACCAAGCCTAGGTGACAGAGACAGGAGCCTGCTCCGCCACTGCTGGTTCCTACTGACCCGTGCCCAGTTCTGAGTGCTCTGGGGTGGAACCTGGGGCTGGAAATGTGGGAGGTAAGAGAGAGGTGACAGTGACACGGAGGGGGGCTCACACTTTCTGAGGCCAGCAGGAAGAGCACAGTCAGCCAAGCACTGGGAATTCTCCCAGGCAAGTAACTGGTCTTCCTTACATTCCTGGGGGCCAACTACCTGGGAATCCTGCAGGACAGCCAAGAAACTTGCTTGACCTGTTTTTTAATACCAAAAGCCAGGGCCAGCTATGCAATTTTCAGGGCCTAGGACACAATGGAAATGTAGTGCCCCTTACTCAAAAATTAAGACTGTTAACATGTGGTCCTTCTTTTCAAGGCAGTCTCCTTGACATGCCCATATAGAATGTATAGAATTTGTTTGTTTGTTTGAATTTTGCTATAGGTATGTGGCAGAGAGAGGGGAAAAGTGAGAAAGTACCCCCCAGGGGGAAGGGCCATGATACAATCTCTTCTTCTCCATTCCCCTTTCAGGATTTTGGACACACATGCACATGCTCTTAGCTCTTAGCTCAGTGTGTTTTATAAACTGCTGGGTCTGGGACTCAAACTGTGCAATCGGCCGTGTGGAATCCAGTCATCTTAACCTCCACATCATCTGCTGGCCCTGGAGTGTGGTTTTTCTTTTTTAAAAAAATTTTTTTGGGACCAGCAGTTAGCGTAATGGCTATGTCGCTGGACTGCCATGTAGTTGACCGCGGTTCGAGTCCCGGACCCGGCGGCTTAAACTCACGCCGGGCGCGTGTGCATGCATGCCCAAGATCCCGAGGGGAGAATGGAGGAGAAGGGATTGTGGCGTGGCCATCCCCCCTGGAGGGTGATTTCTCGCTTTCTGTTTCTCTTGTCTCTGTCTGGTGAGCGCACGCGCCCTATAGCAAAAACCTCTCAAAAATATTTTTTTTTGCCCATAGGGCACATGTGCTCACCATAGAAAGACAGAAAGAAAGTGAGAAATCACCTTCTCCAGGGGGGATGGCCATCCACAATCCCTTTTCCTCCATTTTCTTAGGATTTTTGTGCATACACGCACACACATCTGGCATGATTTTCAAGCTGCTGAGTCCAGGATTCAAACCACAGTTGGCCACATGGTAGCCCAGTGCCTTAACCACCATGCCAACTGCTGGTCCCCCTGGAATATATATATGTATAAAACTGTCATGGTGATGGGAAGGAGGAGGAAGTAGAGATCATACACGACTGGCCATAAGTTGATCGTTGTTGTAGGTAAGAGGACATGTGTAGGAACCAGCAGGTGGCATGATGGTTGGGGCACTGGACTCCCACATGGCTGACCATGGTTCAAGTCCCAGATCTGGTGCCTTTAAACTCACTCCAGGCACATGTGAGTGCATGCCCAAAATCCCAGGAGGAGAGTGGAAGGGAAGATTCTGGCATGGCCATCCTCCCTTTGGGGAGTGATTTCTCACTTCCTCTCTCAGTGTCTCTCTAAATGCATGCACCCTATAGCAAAACAAAACAAACAACAACAACAATAACAACAAAAAAAATGAACTTGCAACTTTAGGGCATTGCTTTTCTTTAAAAAAAAAAATTGCTAGAGGGTGCATGCAGTGGCTAAAGAGCAACAGAGAAAGAGTCAAAAGCCACCTCCCAAAGGGGATGGTTGCGCCACAATCCCTTCTCCATTTCTCCTTTCTTGATTTTTCAGGGCATGCATGCACATGTGCCAGAGTGTTAGCCAAGTTGCTGGGCCCGGGACTCCGACCGCAGTCAGCCATGTAGGCTCCAGCCACCTTAACTACCATGCTGCCAGCTGGTCCCAAGGAATTACTTTTCAGTGTTCATGTGTTCGTACATCCCCATATCTGCACAACACAATTTGCATTGAAGATCAACCACACAGATGATGTCATGAGCAATAAGTGCCATGTCATGCCTGCTTTTCCCTGGAGAGAAGGCGCCTAAATCTAGCACCCCACGCTGTCCTTGGAAGGTGTGCTCAGCTAGAAGGGACCCAAGTTCTGGAGATACAGCCTGTCCCCAGATCTGTCACCATCTGATCTGGACTAGGCATTCGTGGATCTAAAGACATCCAATTTTTGAGAAGAGACCTCAGGCCAATGAAGCCATTGAGGGTAATAAAAGCAACTCGAACCCCATCTTTCCACCCCATCAGTTGCTCAAGTACTATACAGGGGACTTTAGAAAGTTCATGGAAATTTTGAGTTAAAGTAGGAAGTATTTTGGTGTAGAAAAAAATCGAAATCCAGGGGCCAGCAGGTGGTGTGGTAGTTAAGGTGCTGGACTTCCACATGGTCGATCATGGTTTGAGTCCTGGACCTGGTGGCTTGAAACTCATGCTGGGCATGTGTGTATGTATGTGTGTGTGTGTACAAAATCCCCAAGAAAAGAATAGAGGAGAAGGGATGTGGCATAGCCATCTCCCCCTGGGGGGTGATTTCTCACTTACTCTCTGTTTCTCTGTCTCTCCAGTGAGTGCACACACCCTATAGCAAAAATCTCTCTCTCAAAAAAAGGAAACTGTACATAGTTTTTTCATAATATGCTTTTTCTATGAGCTTTTTGAAGATCTTAGAATAGGTTGCATAAAACCCTCATTCTATATCCATCATACGCTCTTTTGCTTTTTTTTTTTTTAATTGCCAGGTGTGTGAGCACACCAGAGAGAAAAAGCCCCCTCCCCCAGTGGAGCATGGTCATGCTGCAACTCTTTTTCCACCATTGCTCCATCCCATCAAGATTTGGGGCACATGTGTTCATGCGCCTGGTGTATTTTTAAAGCTGCTGGGACTGGGACTAGAACCATGGTTAGCCTATGTACAGAGCCTCATCACTGCACTATGGGACCATCCCTGTAATACCCTCTCCCAAGAGCACACTAGCAATGTTCCTTTTAGGCAGTGTAGGTACCCCTTTGAGAAAATCAAAAGGCAAACAGGTTCAGACCAAAAATGGCCAATGGCTTCTAGCAGATCAGTAGGAAAGTGACAGATAAAGCCTGAAGTAGACCCCCTAAGAATTGCCCAGTGGTAGAGGGAAAGCAGGGATGTGGCCTGGGATGTGGCCCGGGAGGTTTTCTCTTCAGATGCCCGGGAGGATTCAAAGGCACCATCTCAGTTACCCTGCATTGACAGGGCAGAGGTAAAGTTTTGCAGAGTGTGGCCAGCAGAAGAGTGGCTCCAACTGTTAGAGACATGCTTGGAGAATACTCCAACTGTACTCCCATACACTCAGGGTTCAGGACTCGCATCTTAGTCCACTGGGGCTGTAATGAAATATTGTAGACCGGGTGCCTTAGAAACAACAGAAATGTATTTCTCACAGTTCTGGAGGCTGGGAAGTCCAAGGTCAAGTGCCAGCAAACCCCTTGTCTGCTGAGGGCCTGTTTCCCGCTTCATAGACAGGGCCTTCTTGCTGTGTCTCACTTGGCAGGAGGAGCCAGGGAGCTGCATTTGGGAGGGCACCACCCTTATGACCTAATCTCCCCCCGCCATTCTCCCTGGCGGTAAGAATTCCAGTGTGCGAGTTCTGGGGTGGATACAAAATCCAGACCAGAGCAAATGGTTCCAACTTACCAAGTTATTGTCCCTCCCAGTCACTGTGTCTGTGCCAGGCGACAGTAGACATGCAGAAGTTTAGTGATCCCTGACACCCTGTGCAGTGTGGAAACCATTCTTTTCAGCGGAATGGCATACGAGTGTGGAACTCTGACCACAAACCATTGCCAGTCCTTCCCCAGGTCTTGGGATGTCCCATATGCCAGATGGCACTGGTGCCGGCATGTATTTTGCCTAAAGGACAAGGTGCTCACAGATTCATTTCTCAGACAGTGGCGTAGTTCACAGCATGATCCACTGGAGCTCTCACTGGCCACACTTCCCTGGTGACTTAAACAGCATTCAAAAAAAAAAAAAAAAGAAAGAAAGAAAGAAAGAAAGAAAGAAAGAAAGGAAAAAAGGAAATAAAAGAAAAAGTCAGAGGTCTAGCAGATTGGTGTGGTAGTTAAGGTACTGGACTTTCATATAGACGACCACAGTGTGAGTCCTGGACCTAGTGGGTTGAAAAAAAATCACTCCAAGTATGTGTACATGTGTGCATGTGTGTTCAATATCCCAGGAGGAGACTGGAGGAGAAGGGGTTGTGGCATGGCCATCCCCCCTGAGGGGTGATTTTTCACTTTCTCTCTGTCTTTGTCTTCGTTGAGTATACGTGCCCTATGGCAATAACCTTAAAAAAGAGAGAGAAAGAAAGAGAAAGAGAAAAAGAAAGGGGGTGGGGAGAAAGGAATAAAGAAAAAGAAAGAAAGAAAGAATGAACAAACAAGTCAGGACAGTGGTAGCACAGCATTGCCCCTCCAAGCACAGGATCCCATGCATGAGGCTGGTTCTGCCCCAACCATGCTTCCAGAAGCTTTTTTTTTTTTTTTTTTTTTGCACAAAGAGAATGTTCCCTGTTTCTGTGGCATGAGAGCCATGGGAAAGAAGGGGCTGGTTTTTCGCCAGGCCTCTGGCCAATACCTAGCAGGGAATGTTTGTTCCTAAGGTGAGGTTAGCCAGGGTGTGGACTGAGTCAGAGTGAAGACGGCTTCATGGCGGGATGGCTCCCCAGACTTCCCTCTGTGTGTGCCGGTTGGTGTGTGCGTGTGAGCCGGCCACGGCGTAATGGGTGCCACCCTGTCCAGAGAAGCAGGCTTGCGTTTTGTCTCTGCTATTCGCTTGCTGTGTGGCCTTTGGTAAGTAACCCTGCATCTCTCTGCCTTCAGTTTCCCTAACTAAAGAAAGAGGAGTTTAACCATTAGGAAAACTAGTGGAAAAGTCAGGACATAGTTTTCTATGTAAAAATGCATCATGACTTTTCCGACTACCCAATATTTCCAAGATTCTCTTCCACACGAACGTGCTGTGATCTAAGCTTATTTGCCACTAACATGAGTTCCTCTCTCAGACCAAGAGATGAGGAATTTCATTCTAGCATTTCTGCCTTCCGCTCCCCCGCCCCCTGAGCCTCACAGGGAAAAACAGTTCCCCACCCACCGGCCTTTGTGGGATTTGCTGATGCAAATAATTCGAAGTCCGGTCACCTTCAAGAGAATGCCTGCACAGAATGTCCTGCCCCACTCCGGCAGCTGCAGCTGTCGCCCCAAGGGGCCCGGCTGTTGGGCCCACTCCATGGAGGACACAGCAGCCGCGGCTCTGCATTGCTAACCTCTGACCTAGAGACAAGCCCAGTGTTTCTCAAAGTTCAGGCAGGGGGTCGGCCTCCTCAGAGTCCCCAGGCAACATGGACAATGCACATTCCTTGTCCCTCTCAGATCAGGACTGCATTCCATGAACTTGCATTCCCCAGAAATTCTGTCGACTGAAAACAAAAATCTCCCCGAGCCTCAGAGAAATGAGACAATCGCATTGGCTAGCATTCCAGAGAGTACACGTCTTCAACAAGTTCATGGAACACGTAGACTACGAGAAAACCAGGATGGATTTTCAAGATTTTTTTTCCCCACCAAAATAAACTTATATTTTAAAGCTAGGACACGACAGTGCATGCCTCGAATCCCAGCTACTTGGGAGGCTGAAGCAGGAGAATCACGAGTTCAAGGCTGGCTTAGACATGTTGAGACCCGGCCTCAGAAACAAATAACAACCCAAACTCTCATACTTCAATTTTATTGTTTCACAAATTTTTGGACATCCCCTGGTCCTTGGACCATTTTCTAGAGCCAGTCTGAGGCAGAATGTGTTTGCTGTCTGGTCCTCAGCAATTTATCTGATTAATAACTCATGGTTAAGCTCGGCTCCACCCACATAGCTGATAAACCAGCCTTGTCTACAGCCCAGCAACCTCGGATTAAACTAGCAACCTATCCCTGTTGGGCTCAGACACTGCATTTTTCTATAAAGATTCTTTCCCCAAAGCCAAAGAGTAATAATCAACACCCCCCTTGACTGAACCTCTGTGATAAGGCACTGGGCCTTATTAATTTTCAAAACTCTATTTGAACCTCCTCCTCACTCGCATTTTAAAGATGAGGAAACAGAGTTCAGCACCTTGCCCAGGATCTTGAAGCTGGGACTATGTTTCTGACGGAGGGCTATTGTGTTCCTTCTAGGTTGGGTCGAGAGCTGTCTTGCTTTGTGACTAAGAGACGTGATTCAGAACCACAAGTTCCTCTGTTCTAGAGTTGCTTCACTTCTTTCTTTTCTCTTTCTCCTTTTCTTTCTTTCTTTCTTTCTTTCTTTTTTTTCTTTATTTAAAGTTGCTGTCATAGGGCGTGTGCTCTCAATAGAGAAAGACAGAGAAAAGGAAAGTGAGAAGTCACCCTCCCCGGAGGAATAGCCACACAGCAATCCCTTCTCCTCCATTCTCCTTTTGGGATTTTGGGCATGCACGCACACATGCCCAGCATGATTTTCAAGCTGCCAGGTCCAGGACTGGAACCGTGGTTGGCCATATGGGAGTCCAGTGCCTTAACCACCACACCACCTGCTTGCCCAAAGCGAATTCCTTTCTAAAGCTCAGTAGCTTCAGATCTGCTCATCCTCCAGGCAGAAGTAGAACGTGGCACTGTTTGGTGTGGGTGGTGAGGGAAAGGTGGCTGTCCCTTGGACAGCGGGGCAGGATCTGTTGGGGGAGGGAATTTCCTGCTGCAGCTTGAACGGCCTCTGCAGGAGGGACGCGTGTGCCTGTCCTATAATGCAGGTGCTGGGCCCTGTGGCCTTTGAAGTGTCTGAATTCCATCTGTGAAAATAACATCAGATTTTCTGGCAGCATTTTGCACCCGGGGCCTGACTAGTAAATCAGCAGAGTGTGGTTTCAGTACTTCCTTCCCCCTGGAAAGTCACCAAGCACAGCGCGGTGACTAAGATGGCAAGAGCTTAATGAAATGCCTTTGTTCTGACCACCCTCTCTACTCTCGGACCTCGCCTTTCAAGGAGGGCATGGTTGTGCCAGTGCACTTTGATGGTGGGATTTCAATGATGAGGCAGCTGTCAGGGACTCAGGTACCCTTCCCAGCCTCAGAAGAGGGAGTTGCATTGAGCGGGGATAGCCAGGCTGGGCAGATCCCAGGACCTGGGTGGAGCCCCAGCTCTGCCATCCCCAGCTTGGCCACCTGTTGCAGGTGCATTACAGGTGACGCAAACGCGCATAGCGGCTGATGGACTGACGCTTCGTATGTGCTAGTGCTGCACTGCGTCTGCCTCGCCTCTCCTTCTCTAGGTCTCGCAGGCAGCCCAGGAGAGAGGTCTGTGTATTCTGCCTCTAGAGAAGAGAAAACTGAGTCTCAGGGCAGTGTGACACTTCGCCAAAGCCACCCGGCTCAGGAAGAGACAAACTTGGAATTTAGCTTGTCTGATGCCAGAACCTGTACTCTGTCCCCAGGGTGTCCCCTCCTTCTGCCTGGCTCTCTCAGCTGTGAAACAGGACAGAGTGTGGGTCCTGCTCTTTCCCCAGAGCTGTTCTGTTGTTATATTTTTAGATTTTTTTAAAGAGGTTTTTGCTATAGGACGCATGTGCTCGCCAGAAAGAGAGAGAGAGAGAGAGACAGAGAGACATAAATTGAGAAATCACCTCCCAGTGGGAATGGCCACACTGCAATCCCTTCTCCTCCATTTCTTCTTGGGATCTTGGGCACGCATTGCACACACGCCTGGTATGAATTTAAGTCACTGGGTCTGGGACTTGAACCATGGTCAACTACATGGGAGTCCAGCGACGTGGCCATTAAGCCAACTGCTGTCCCCTATATTTTTAGATTTTTGCCAAAGGGCATGTGTACTTGCTAGAGAGAGACACAGAGAAAGGGAAAGTAAGAAATTACCACCTGAGGGGATGGCCACATTGCATCCTTTTTCCTCCATTCTCTTAGAATTTGGGGCATGCATGCACGCATGCCCAGCACGTTTTTGAAGCTATCAGGTCCAGGACTTGAACCATGGAGTTGACCAGGTGGAACTCAGTGCCTTAACCACCATGCCATCTGTTGCCTTACCCCCCAAGGGCTGTTTTCCATACTTCGGGAAAACTGACTGTCAAGTGCAGTCCCACGTGAGGTGATGGTACCCCAGCTTCACAAAGCGAAAGGGAATCTGTGAGATGCCGCCTTCTCCAGGAGCCAAGAGCCAGATAGCAGCAGCCATCCTGATTCACTTTTGAAACTGTCAAAATGGTAGAAAAGTAGCTTCCTGAACTAGCCAGGAAAACATGGCTGAATGGCATTTCCAGGTACAGCATTGCACACTTAGGACAAGGGCCTTCCCAAAGCTACGGGAGTCCTGCTCCCAGAGCCTTGCACACGGGGGAGGGCATGGGATGCAAGGCGTGATGGGGTGGGATCTCCTGCTTCACAGCTATGCATGGAGCCAACCATATCGGACTGTTCTGGGCACGGGGAAAGGGTGGTGACGACACACACCCCACCTGCTTGTGAGTGGACACACATTCCAGTGAAGGGAGGCAGACAACAGAGCAGAAGGTGCTTTTAAGATCACAGAGAGCTAGGGAGACAATAAAATGGGGTGACATGAAAAAGAGGTGCGGGCCACCTGCTATGGAGAGGGTGATCAGAGAAAGAGGCGCACTTCAGAAGGGAACTGAGTAATTGGAAGGAGTTGACCAGGGGAAGAACTGAGAGCATGGCCTTTCGGGTGGAGAGACCATCATGTACAAAGGCCCTGGGGCAGGAGAAATCTTGGCCTTTTTTTTTCAGGAACAGAAAGGAAGGCATAGTGGTTTAGAGATGGAAGTGATGCCAAAGGTGGTAGGAGTTGAGATTGTAGGGGATGGCAAGGTCTAGATCACATAGGTCCTGCCAGCCACAGCTTTGTTTAGAAATATTGCATGGTAGGGCCAGCAGGTGGCGTAGTGGTTAAGGCGCTGGACTCCCACGTGGGAGGCCACAGTTAAGTCCTGGGCCTGGCAGCTTGAAAATCACTCTGGGTGTGTGTGCATGTGTGCCCAAAATCCCAAGAGGAGAATGGAAGAGAAGGGATTGGCGTGGCCATCTTCCCTGGGGTGGTGTATCTGATTTTCCCTCTGTCTCTCTCTGGTGAGCACTCACACCCTATGGGAAAAAAAAAAAAAAAAAAAGAAGACATGTTTCATGGCTGGTTTGAAGGGAAGGAGAGCATTCCTTTCTTCTTCTGAAGAGGACAACAGGCAGACTTCCTGTTCTGAAAACACGCTGGGCTGGGCTGCATAGGGAAGCCCTGGTAAGCTCCCGCCTGTGCTTCTCCCTGCCTTGCAGCACCTTGCCAGTGGGGAGGAAGGGGAAGTGCCCAAGCTCTCTGTATATGGCCTGGCTGGAGACCCTGTCCCAGGACCTCAGACCTCCCGTCATCCTGATCCGAGGAAACCAGGAAAATGTGCTCACCTTTTACTGCCAGTAACTCCAGGCTCGCAGTCCCTGCCCAAACTCAGCGTGCGTGGGGTGAGTCGGAATGCCAGCTGCTCCAGACCACAGAAGCAGACTCACAGTCCCTTGTGCTTTAAGCAGTAACATCTGATGATCGACTGAGGAAGATGGTAGATTTCCAAGCTTTGGCTAAACTCCACTTTCAAAGTCCTCTGGGCCTCATCTTTATGGGCTGGAGAAGTAGCAGATGGACTTGCATGTAAAATTCTCTGGAGAGTCCTATTCCTTTAAAAAATGTGTGTTTGCTTTTATCTTGATGACCACTAATTAAAATTTTAGTCTTTGATTTGTATGCACATTTGAGTCGGAGTACTGGACGTGAAGCTTACTGTTTAACTAGCATGTCCACCCTTTCCTGGTGGTGTTTTTTGCTTTTAACTTTTGTTTTTTGGAGAGGTTTTTGGAAAGACAGAGAGAGACAAAGAGACAGAAAGCAAGAAATCACCTCCCCAATGGGGGATGGCCATGCCACAATCCCTTCTCCGCTCAGGATCTTGGGCACACATGCACATGCATCCGGCGTAAGTTTCAAGCCACCAGGTCCAGGACTCGAACCACAGTCAACTACATGGGAGTCCAGTGACATAGCCATTATGCCAACTGCTGGTCCCCCTCGTGGTAGTTCTTAAACCACGCATCCTCCTCCAGCAGCCAGGAAACAGGGAGCTGCACTGGCAGGCCTGCAGGAGCCCAGGGGTGCGGGGCTCCTCATGTCCCCACTATAATGTCAGTTCCTTTGACCACCTTTCACTCCCTTTACTTACTTAATTTTTCTTTATACTCAAAAGAGGAATTATAAAAAGGCTTATTTAAGTCTGGCATACCTATTCTCTTATTGCTCTTGTTATTGCTCTGTTGGTGTTATTATTGTCCTTAGTATTTTTTTAAATTTACATTTAATTACTGTGCATCTTTACAGTACACAGCATGGTTTTCCCAGCATGAATACAGTGCATTAGTCAGGTCAAAGACATTGCCATATACATTATCACAAGCAGATAACTTTTCATTTTTATGTCTATTAAATGTGTGGTTTGGGGACCAGCAGTTAGTGTAATGGCTATGTCGCTGGACACCCATGTAGTCGACCATGGTTCGAGTCCCAGACCTGGCAGGTTAAACTCATGCTTAGCACGTGTGTGTGCCTGCCCAAGATCCCGAGAGGAGAATAGAGGAGAAGGGATTGCGGCATGGCATCCCCCAGGGGGTGATTTCTTTCTTTATGTCTCTCCATCTCTCTCTCTCTGTCTTTCTGGCGAGCACATGCGTCCTATAGCAAAAACCTCTCCAAAAACAAAACAAAACAAATAAATTGTTTTTTATTTTTCCCCGCTGATCCCTTTACTTTCAATAATGAGTCTTCAGTGTCTTCACTGGTTCTTTTCAAATTTTTTTAGAGCTTTTGGCTATAGGGTATGTGCATTTGCAAAGAGGCAGAGAGACAGAAAGTGAGAAATCAAACCCAGGGATGATGGTCGTGCCACAGTCCCAGGACCTGAACCATGGTCAGCCAAATGGGTGTCCAGCGCCTTAACCATCATGCCACCTGCTGGCCCCTTCAAACATTTTTTGGTTGCAACCCATGGTAAGAAATACATTTTACACTGAGACGCGGAAGTCACACAGAGAAATGACTGGAACAAAACCGAACTTACCCACTCTGTGGGCAATGCCCTCCTGTGTTTCTGCACCTGTTCTCTCTTGCTCTTTAATGTTGGTTGCAATCTATTAGAGTGATTTTGCAGCCTCATCAAGTGACCCAGCATTTGAAGAATACAGGTCACTTTGCTTTGCCTCCTGGGTTTGTCTCCACAGTGGGGAGCCCAGGTGATTTGGGAAAAAGTCATTGTTGGGCAGCAATGCCATTTTCTCATCTCATCCCACAGGGAAGAGAAGGGAATTAATAAAGCCAGCAGGGAACGAGGAGGTTAAGGCACTGTATCCCACACGGCCAACTGTGCCATTCAAGTCCTGGACACGGTGGCTTGAAAAACACTCCAAGCGCATGTGCGTGCATGCCCAAAATCCCTAGAGGAGATTAGAGGAGAAGGGATTGCAGTGTGGTTCTCCCCACTGGGGTGACTTCCCTCTTTCTCTCTCTCTCTCTCTCTCTCTCTCTGTCTCTCTCACTGCAAGCACATGTGCCCTACAGCAAAAAAGTAAAAGAAAAGGAATTAACAAAATGTGCAAGGGGGAACATTGACTAGAAGAGCATCAAGAAAGAGTGGGAAAGAAGGCAAGACGTAAGGAGTCTAGTGGAAGCGTGTCAAGTGTTGGATGTGGTCAAGGGTGGAGGACAAGGAAACCAGGAATGGAGGCTCAGAGGGGACGTAAAGATGGCAGGATTGGCACAGGGTCCGAACGGAAAGGGTGGGAGACTGGTGAAAGCATGCGATGAGTAGATGGAAGGAGAGTAAGGCACTGGAGGAGCTGCGTGGGGTGAAGGTGGGAAGGGCGGGAGGTGGGGAAGATGAGGAGGAGGACAGGACTTAGGCCTAGCTCGGGAGGGACGTTCAGGTTAGCAGAGACTGAACAGCCCGGGGTGTTTGCACCATCAAGCTCAAGTGCGAGAGTGGAAGGTACTTCGGAGACATTTGCGGCTGCGGGCCGTGGCGAAGTGAAAGAGCTTCTGCTGCCCTAGACACAGCCGCACAGACGCAGTGAGCTGCCTGGTGATCCGAAGCCCTGATGGTGGAAGGAACGAGCACCTTCAGCTATCATTGAAGGCTAAGGTCTCCTTGCCGTTAGGGCACAAAGGACTTCCCCATTTCTCAGGTCATCACTGTGACATCCTAAAGGCTCCGGGCCTCCAGGTTGATCCAAAGTCCCCACTGTCCTTCCACTGCATCAAGGCTTGCTGGGGCAGCAAATCTTCTCCCAAGGGACTTGAAGAACAGGCCTGCCTCTCTGCTCCTGAGGGATCTGGGATGCAGCCCCCAACCCCAGAGAAGGGGGAACCTCCATCATGGAGTGCTTGCCTTTCTAGGGCCACCTGGAAAACAATTTCCCACAACTGAGTGCTCCCTCTTCAGATCTTAGGGAGTCCTTGGTCAGGTACAGAGAATGCTTTGGGTCTGTTTAAAAAAAAAAACCCTTAAAAAAAAAAAGTAAAATTTTCACTCTGGTGGAAACAGTGAATTTTTAAAAATTATTTCTTTAATTTTATTTGTCATTATTACTATTATTTTTTAATTTGACCAGAGAGACAGAAGGAGAGAAAAAGGGAAAGTGAGAAAGCAAGCCACCAGGTCCGGGACTCAAACCATGGTCAGCCATGTGGGAGTCCAGTGCCTTAACTGCCACACCACCTGCCGGCCCCAGAAACAGTGAATTTTAAACAATAGTAGGATCTTTGTCGGGGGCGGGGGAGGGGGGAAACACCTTTGAATTAACAGTGAGGCCAAAACAATGCAATGAATCAAAATATATGTTCACTCAGTCGACAGAACTTATTTGTTTTGGAACACAGTGTTTTCAACTCTGCTGAGTGTTTTGAAAAAAATTAACTACTGTTTTTGCAACCCTGGACTGAACTTTTCCATGAGTTTTTACCGGTTCTGTAGTTCAGATTGTCCAGCTTGCTGCATGAATATTTACCGGAGACGCTTCTTTCCCCTTTGCTGCTTTTGCATGCGTTTGCAGCCTCCGCCGCATTCGCGTCTCCCAGCGTTTTCCATCTCGCCTCAAACTGAGCCATCAAGACGTTGAGGAGTGGCCACCAGGAGACTTGGATTTGAGTTTCTGTTTCTCCCCAAACTGGCTGTGTAATCTCAGATTTGCCCCCTCGGCCTCTTGGGGGCTCAGAACATGAAATGAGAGAACTGGACCAGAACAGGTGTCACCAGCCAGCTGGCCTGCCCCTGACTGTGGTTTGGCCCGGACGTGGCTGGCCACAATTGTGGAGGCCGCCGAGGGTGGTGTGTGCGAAAGGGTGCATGTTCTTTAGCCACCCCCACCCCTGCCGGCCCACTGTTTCCTACCACTCTGCTGTGTGAGCCTATGGGTTGGGGGGAACTCGAGGGCCCTCCAGGTCCATCATTTGGCCTACTAAGCCATGGAGGGTAAGATATTTCATTCTTTCTGTCTTTGGATGACAAAATACTTCATGTTAATGAATTTTCATGGTGAGAATTTCTGGAGTCCTCCCTTTTGCTGTGCACTGAACATTTGGCCCACAGAGAGGCCAAGACCCATCCCTAGCCAGTGGCCACAGGGCCACCCCAGAAGGGGCTCTTTGTTTATCTCCCTGGGGACCCACTGCCCAGGTAATAACTCCCAATTTTTCCCTCGGCATTTCAGCCTAGAAATGCCTCGGATTTAGTATCCTCCTTTAGTTACTGCCCAGACTTGTGGCTTTGAAGTGAGAACAGCACGGCCCATTTTTCACCCAATAGGCTTGCGGAGCTCTACTTCCGCATGCTGAAAGCTGTGAGCCTCATTAACTCACTCTGAGTCTGGTTTGGACTGAATTCCCTTTTAGACGCCTGCCTGTCTGCTCTAGTGCAGCAAGAAGGAGGTAGATTTTACAGGGATGGAACTAGCTGGAATGTTCCAGAAGAACCACCTGGCTAGGCCCCCAAACACATGCAAAGCAGCCAGGTTTCACTTGTAGCTGTGTATAGTTCAGGGTGTCAGAAAAAAAAAATGCTGCTAATTTTAAAAGGGTTCACAGAAATGGAGCTCAGAAAAGCCCAGACTCCGGCGCTTGTTGGTGATTTCCCACTTGAAGCGAGGTTTAATCCTATGACTGAAAAGTTTGAGTGCAACCTAAGCACCCACTTCCTGAAAGCGAGCCAGTAACAATTCAGGTTCTAAAAATACTTTGAGAAGAGCCACCTGGCTGGGAGGCCAGAAAGCAGAATGTCTTATGGATGAAAGACAGTGGCAAGACACGACAAACATTTTTATCTCATTTCGTAAGTGTCACAGAGAAAATACTCTGAAGTGACAAGAGAAGGGGCAGCCAGGGGAAATTAGGAAAGTCTCTGTAGAGAAAATGGTATTTAGCATAGATCTGAAGGTTGGTGGAATTCAACAGAAAGGTAAGAACAAGAGAGCCGGGATTGGGGAA